GGAGGTGTGGGACTCCTGCCAGCATGAGCTGCATACATTAAACTACAACCAGAGCTAGAAGCATTTCGTGACTTTGGTGCATAATTTATTATATTAGTCTATTTGTCTTTCCCTTCTGAAAGAAATTCAGTAAGTGGGTTAATTTAATCTTATGTCCAGATCTGTGCTTGAAAGTGAAGTCTTGTATACCTTCCCTGTCCAGGATACAACAGCTAGGGACCAAGCTGGGGTAAGGAAAGAGGGAACTCTGAAAGTTTTAACTGCCACCAAACTGAGGAATCATCAGACATGAAAGGAAGACCTCACAGTTCCATGCAGAGTCCAAAGCAACAATCTGATTTCTTTACACACTTTCGGATGGTTTTACATTTCCCCTTGGTATTGCAAAATATTTTATTCTTCAGTCATGGACTTAGCAAAAGATAGTGATACCAAATATGCAGAGCTAAAAAATTTGTCATAATTCTGTTAAAGTGTGGAACTTAAATTGAGAGGGTAGATTTGTCCAGGTAGAGACCAGCAACATTGGCCACTAAAACAGTCAGTCTATGAGTAGACAAGGACTGATTTTTCACACAAGTTTTCCAGCAAATGAACAGGGTTTCCTTCAGTTAAAACAGAAGTTTGTCTCCATCTCTCTGGTAACTTCAGCTATTGTTCATAGATCCTCGAGCAATGTCTCTAAACTATCTGTAAAAACACTGGGGACTTCTAAGGTCTGCTTTCTTTAGGCAGCTAAACTGGAGGGGAGAGCATAAAGTACCCCAGAAAGATTTTGATGAGCTCACTATTTCCTTCTTTCACACTTCTGGATTTTCAGCTTGATAAGAGATTTATACTAACAACAAAGAACCTTGAGGAGTGAGCAAACATTTATTTTCAGTGTATCCCCTTAATGGCAGTACAGAATCCTCAGCCAATAAATTATCTTAATTAGTCTCACTATTTATAATAAAAACTTACAAAGGAGAAGGCAAACTACAGTGCAGAAAACTGTCATATTCAAATGAGTGAAATTAATTCAGTAATATGTAAAGAAGTTTTTGAACTAGTCTGTAAAACCTTCAGGCATTGTTCAAATGTCTGAACTAATTTTAGATTATGTACAAAATCAGCTGTACAAATACATAGTGTCCTACACAGGGTAGGTCTGTGTGATTTTTCTTTTTCCCCCACTTGAATACTGCACCATGAATAGGCTAGTGCTATGTCAAATATTGTTCAGTAATTTGCTATGTCAGTCCTTAAAGGTATCATTAATTACCTTAGGAAGTGGCTGCCTCATTACAAGAAATAAGAATTCTGGGTGAATGAGGTGAGGTAGCTTATTCATATATTCTGAGGTTAGTCATATGATTTTTATTGAGCCAATTATGCCAAAGATTGCTAAGTTTACAGTCAGATTGTATAGCATTGCAGTTACCAAAAATGTGTCTATCAATGAAAATAAATTTGTAGCTGTGGTAGTAATTTTCTGAGTGATAGGCTTTTTCCTATGTTTATCTTAGGAAAGATTAAATAATTATTATTTGAGCTTTCAAGTACCAGTGATTTATTTAATTTCACTCTGACAAGACTGTGTCTGTATTTTTGTTATAATAAATAGTGGTAGATATGCTAATACAGGCTTTAATTCTGAGAATGTACAGGCCTTAGGTACATGGTGACCCTCTGGAATCCCAAGTTTCAGTTATAACCTATGGAGAACTTGCATGCAATAATACTTCTTAATTTCAGTACAGAAAGCAGTTTTTAAAATATTAATTATATTATTGATGTGAATACCAACTAGGGAACTAATGTGCCATGACTGCTGCTCATTATATCAAACTCAATCATTTCATTGCTGCCTTGTCCTCCTCCTCATTTGTTTCATCTCCATCTGCTCACTCTCTCATATTACTTACACTGCATCATATGAGGTACCCAAGCTTACTGGGGCAAAATGCTATCTTCTATGAAAAATATGGTCCAGCTCTACATAATACTGCAATATAAATATAATAGTAATGCTTATGCTGCTACTAATTTGGCCAATTTTCTCCCTGTTTGAGTCTCAGAAAGTATAATTCCTCTTTTGAAGCTAGTTTATCTATGTGTAAGTGAAAGTTAAGAGTAGGATTGATGACATCTCACCACAGCCCTTTGAAAGAAGGGTGCTAGTCTAAGCTAGTCATCAAAGCCTGTGTCATTACTCTTACAAGTGGTATCATAAGAGGCTGGTACTTCTTAGGATGTAATGAATGACATTTTCAGAAGATGATTCATGCTGCCCTAATGTAGTAGAGCTTAGTCACCTAATGGAGTTGTCTCTGTGAACTACATACTAAGACCATATGAAAAACTTAAATTTGGTGCCTAACTTGTTTGAATCATGCAGCAAGTGTTCTGGGCAAGCCCCCATTTCTGATTCTGTGCTGATGCTGCTCCAGCCACTAGGAAATAATTTTTACCTTGCATTATCATGGTCCTACAAGCATAAATTTTAGAAGTAAATGTCCTGGGTTTTAGGACTTAAATCAGAGCATATCATTAAACAATTTACTTTATCAATTAAAATGTCCCTTTAGTTGTCTCTTAAAAATATCTGTAGAGATTATACTTCATTCTGTCTCTTCCCTACTGCTGTGCCACCAAAACAGATGCAATATTCCTCTCAGAAGGGGCTGGGTTAGTGTATTAGTGTAGCAATGTGGAGATGTAACAGTGAAACAGTCATGGGGCTTCAAGCGGCTGACACTCTGATAAAGCATGAAAGAGGTAAACAGGAAAGATAAAAATAGTGGGATGATTTTATATCAATTCTTATTTTCCTGCCTATTGAGAAGGCTTTGTTGGGTTGGCTCTGTTTCTTTACTGGCATTTGGCAGGGCAGTGTTTTATAGCTAGAAAATGCAATAGGCAGTGGTGATCTAAGCACATGAAAGGTTAGTGAATTTGGTTTGGAATTGGAATTACATCTTTGTAATAAAGGTCATGATTTCAAAATATCGCAAAACTGTGTCTAAGGTTTCTCTTTGTCTACCCTGCTCTACATTGTGTCTCCTGAGCTAAAAATTCACTTAAAATTAGGCAGCAAACAAAAATAACAAGATAAACCTACAAGAAACATCAGGGGAGAACTCTTGCTCTGAGATCAGTGGCACTATTCCCAAGGAAGTTAATTTCAAAAAAAGTCTGTCAGTTATCCGGGTTTCAGCTGACAATTTAATGTATGAATAGCCTTCTGAAACAAAAATTGTGGGTTCTGGGCTTTTCTCTGCCATTCTTCTGTTGTGCATATCACTGCGGTTGCAGAATATATTTAGCTGGTTGCATTAGTCACTAGGGGTTGTGTTCTTATGCTTCTATATGTTTGATTTAATATATGTTTGCATATTCAGCTGTGCAGGCAATAGACATCATGTTCATTATAACAAAAAGCTATCTCTGCTTTTACTTGATCAGCTACATCTATAAACAGAAGTTGGTTTGTGATAGCAAAATGCAGGACTATTTTATCAGCTGGTTTCTGGAAGATTTATTTTCCTCAATGCAAATTTTTCAAAGAAATATGCCACCAGCATTTCTATGGGGCATGCACTCAAACAGAACTGAAGATCTGAGTCTTGTGCTCATTGGAGTCCAGCTGCTGACTTTTGTCTTTGGATCAGACCATACATCCTAACAACGAGGGTGTCTGTATGCAATTTCCGGGATTATGATTTTTATGTGTGTGGTAATGTGTATTAGACTGTGCTAAAGCAATGGGGAAAATAAAATTTGTGCTAGGCAGAATTCACCACAAGATGTCTCATGTCTCACTCCAGATTTTTCACAAAGGTAGGGAGCTATCCAGCTAAGTCTGGTGAGTGCAGTGAGAATGACATGATTTAGATTCTTCTGGAGAGTGTGTTAAAAGCACATAAAAATAGACTGGATGTGGAATCCAGACATGAAGAGCGTGTTCTTCAAGGGCTGATTAAAAATAAATGCACGGAGACTAACATCACTGAATATTGAAAAAATTCTCATGAAAGGGAGGAAAATGAACACTTAAAGCCGAAGTACAACACTAGGAGAATGATTACTCATTATAAAACAGGGTGATCTAATCTTATTTGTTATTTCTTACCGCCTTTTCTATGTAAAATAAGTGGACTCTATGGCTGAAGTGTCCATTAAGAGTGTTTTCCACCCTTGTAATATTTGGGGTGGGCTGTGTCCCTTTAAGTAAGTATTTTATCTGTTGGCTCTGGGAATCCAGACTAGAGCCCACACATGCCTGAATCTGTACAAGCCTTGGGCACAGTTGTCTATTCTTATGTGTATTGCTGTATATGTATTTTTAAATAGAACTCTTTTGTGTTCCTATGTGTATGACTTCTCTCAGCAGTGGTGCAGACTATCCTCTTACTCTAGGATGTTACTGGAGTGAGGATAGATTCAAGGCCAGCTACCAATTTTCTTTATAGCTGTTAATTAAAAGCTTTAAATGTTAATTGTTTTCATAGGTATCCATATACGAAAGACTACGCATTTCAATTTCCAGTTTTGGAAGGATTGGGGGATCAGGGTGGGTAGCTGTTCGACTGTGGAGAACTTCTTTGTGGCCAGAAATGAGCCAGAGCACAAGCTGACTGTGTAAGTCAAAGGCATTTCACATATCTGATGACCCGAACAAGCAGATATGCTCAGGATAAGTGTTATGTATTGACAGGTTTTTTAATATAAATAAATACGCTAAAATTATTGAGTTGGGGGTATATTAAGGAATCTAATTTTAAACCTTGCGAGGGACTCTTTTCTTCATACCTAACTACACCGTATCTCCAAAATTGCTGCCATAAAAATGTCTGGCAAACCATAGAGCAAAAATGAAGAACAATTTTCTTGTAAAATCACAGAATCAGACAGGAATAGTGGAGGTGTTTAAGGAAGGAGCGGACGCGGCACGGTCGAGTCGATGCGGTGCTGTCAGACCGTAGGTTGGATCTCAGAGGTCCTTCCCAGCCTGACTGATGCTGTCCTTCTGTGATTCCACGTTGAGTTCCTTCCCACCCGGCCGACAGTGGCGGTCCGTGTGCGTGCCCGGGCCCGTGCGAGCTGTGGCTGTGGGCAGTGTGTGGCCGCGGGCTCCGGGCCGGGACAGCGAGCACCTGCGGGAGCTCCCGGNCAGCGCAGCCGGCCCCGGCCCCTGCCCCGGCGTGCCCACCGCGCCTCTCAAGTGTATTTTTAGCGGCGGTTTATGTAACTGCCGGTGCCTGTATTTCCAGCCCCGTGCGACTCCTTTTGGTAAAAAATCAGCTTTTCTTTTTCGAAACGCGCGTCTCTTGCGGATAGATGGAGAACCCGAGGAAAACCCGGTTTTTAGCAACTGCTTACTGATGTGTCACCCGGTACTAATTATTACAAAACCCCCCTGTCAGTTTTGTTCTCTAAAAGTCAACTGCTACGTGCAAGGGGCAGTTTTACTTGATTTAGTTGTCTCCGTATGTCACAGTTACTGATGTGTGTGCAAACGAAACCTGTGTGTCTGCTTGGACATGATCTTCCGTCAATCACTTTTAAAGAGGTGTGTCTGAAAAGTGATTTATTTAATGGATTTTCTTTGGGGGTCTTTTTTGGAAAACAGCTAAGAGAAAGCTTTTTGGAAAAGCAGTGTGATTCCTTTCAAGGTGTTGAAGGTACTCTTGCCCTCGTTGATAACGAGGGCATTAGCATCATTCAGTGATCCCTGACCATACACAGGGGAAGGACCTAGAGGAGAACATTTACTTACTGGGGATGGATTATATATAGAATTTATCAGGTGCAGGCCACAGTTACACATACAGAAAGCCCTTGTAAGAGTTGATTTTAATCAACTGTAAGCATTAGAATAATAAAAAAAATGCAGCACAAAGAGGCCTTTTAAGATAGGAATTATTTTTTTACCACAATAATTATTTTTTCAGGGAAATGTAACAAAATAGGAGTAGAAAAAGCCTTATCAGGATAATGCTATGGTAGTCCCAGACACATTTCTGCTTTTGTAGCATCATGAGATGTCAGATGGTATCAGACATAAAACCTTATGGTCAGGATCAGCCTTAATATTGAGACTTGGTTCTTTTTTTTAAATGTTTGTGTGGGGGTTTTTTTGTTTTTTGTTTTTTTATCCCAAGGGATTGACTCTCTTCATTTAACAAAACCTGTTTTGTAGCATTTTGGCTTTGTTTGGTTCTTTTGATTTGAACATCAATTACTTGACCACTTTATTTACCTGTTTGTTCTTTTGAACCCCTAAATACTGTTGAGATTAAGAAAGGGAATTTTTGTTGGTTTTTTTGGAAATGTTTCTCTGTTGTTGGTTTGTGATGTTTTGCTTTTAATTCTATTTCCTTTGTTTGCCTTAGGAAGTTCTAAAGATTATGTCAGTATTCATGTTGAGCATCTCTTTTTCCTAATACGTGTCAGAAGATGGATTGGTAGTTTCCATTCATTTCCTGGGTGCTAGATGATTACGTCAGAGAAATCTCTGTGACATTTTGGGTTGGCAGTCTTGTAATTAGCCTTGCTAAAAAGCTAATAATAGAATTCAATGATACTTAACTGTGCTTCATCTCCCAATCACCAGTCTTTTGGGCAGATGACATGCTTTGGGATGTCAGGGCATGGAAAATGATATTGTTGGTGCTTGTGTTTCACTTTTTTTAGAAGTATTTTTATTTCATTTTATTAAACAAAAAATTCAGCTCCTGGGAGTCTCATGAGTTCGACAGCATTAGGTCTATTGATTAACTTTATTAAATAGATAGATTTTTCAGGTTTTGCATAGAGTTTTGTTCTGATTTGTCTTGGGCAATCCTCTTGGACTTAGTGTTTACCCAGGATGGCACTCACTCAGTTGTGCCAGAGTTGTGCATTGTCTTTGCTTGCTCTTTTCATTGAAAGGAGTGGTGAAAGTAAGATTTTTTTCACCAAAATAGCTTGTATGTTTTCAGTTGTAGTAGGTTTCAGAGATTAGGTTCTCTTCTATTTCATTTTTTTCTTGCCTATGACATTTTGGACATACATGTTCTGTGTAATTTTGTTTCTGTAAATGAAATATAAAAATGAATCATGTAACATAGCTATATTTTCGTCTATAGAGATCCAAATATAGACTAGTGAAGGAAATGGATTTCTGTGAATGCAATTTCACTTTTTTTCCCCAAAATCAGTATTGTCCTTGAACATAGGATATTAAATACTATGATTTATGAGTTGGTTTTTTTAAAATCCTTTTTTTTTTTTTCCCCTGCTTGTTTGGTGTATGGAGTTAATGTTCTTTCTGGAATTTGGAGGTAGAGCATCAGAATCTTGCCTAGGTAAAAGATGTGAACTGGTGTTCACATCAGCTGAGGTTTTTTTCGAGTGATGGTACTTGTTGAATTGGAGCTATAGAGTGGTTCAAGATAACCTGACTTCTCTTAATGTGACTTAATTAATGCATTCCATTGCACTGAGTTTGAATGAAGTAGCTGAAAAATCATTTAAAAATGAATTTTTCTAATTATTTTCTTTTCTACATGCCTGCTATTAGAAAACTAAAAAACTGAAGCACCAGTAGCAGGACCTGGCTTGATGAGCATCTCATCAGCAGTGGGTCTCTGGCTGCTGTGAGGCTGTCACAGTGCTGCTCATCCAAAACCCCTGTGCCACATCAGAGATACTGCAGCAGCCCTGAGTGTCAAGCCATGGGGTTGAGCTGTGTCTGCTCACAGGGCAGCAACCTGCATGTGCTGAGACCTAAATAACAACCTGTGTCATTTGACAGGGATGTACTGTGAGCACTGCATTCATCCTGGAAGTTTTCTGGATAGTCTTTAAAGTGCTGCTTCCTGCTCATCCATTCCTACAGCCCTGGTGCAGCATTGCTGCCAGGCTTTCATTCCTGAGTCAATCTGCTTCCTCAGCCCATCTGCCCCCCTGCCATCCAGGGAGAGATGCAGCTGGCTGGCAAGGCACAGGTGCTCAGCAGTGTGATCTGAGAAGTGCAGTCCCAGGGCAGAAGCAGAGCCTTCTTGCTCTACTGAAATGCTTGACTTTTTGATGGGGTTTTGGCTTTTTTGTTTGGGTTTTTCTGTGGTTTTTTTTTTTGTTTGCTTGTTTTGTTGTTTTTGGGTTTTTTATTTGTTGCTGGGTGTTTATTTTTTTCTTTTTTTTTTGTAATCTTTATCTTAGAGTCAGGTGCTCTGATATGGGAAAGAGAAACTGTGACTGAAGGAAAAGTTTTGTGCTCTGTACTTGGGATTGAGTTTGTATATCTATGGTCTTTGGTCAAGTAATTACCATTATTTACCAAATATTTGGTCAGCTCTGACTTGGTGGGCAGCTGGACTAGATGATTATTGTAGATCTCTCCCAGCTGAATAATTCTATTCTAAATATCCCATAAGTTGTGTAGGATCTAGTAAGGAGTCAAATTGTGCTATTCACTTTGGCTGTAAGAAATTTATTGTCTGCTAAGATATTTCTGCTTAAAGCCCCTTTAACTTCAGAGTTGCCTGGAGAGGCTGTGGATGGTCTGTCCCTGGCAGTGTTCAAGGCCAGGCTGGATGGGCTTTGAGCAGCCTGGTCTATGGAAGGTGCCCCTGCCCATGGTGGGTGGGCTGGAACCAGATGAGCTTGAAGGGCTCTTCCAACCCAAACCATTCTATGATTCACAGGTATTGCAGCAATTGTAGGAAACCCATAGAGAAATCCATCAACGTTTCTGTAGGATGAGAAGGGTTACTGCTTTTCCCTTTTTCCAGCTGGTTTCCTAGCTTTTATATAGATTCCATGAAATGAAGATGCATTATAATATTGGTTTACTCTGGATTGATTATCTCTAAAGGGTGTAGGCGCTGTTTCTTATCTGCCAAATCTGTACTTTGGGTTCTTCCACAGGAGAATTTTGAGGGCCCAAACAGTTACTTTTGTTTAATCTGTTTTTAAAAAAGTACCAAAAACAACTGCAGCTTAACATATAATAAAATATATGGTCCCTTCCAATGGTAGACTTTTATCTGTTGATGGTCTCCTAAGTCATACTTTTAGGCGCAGGTAATGACCTGAATGGGTAGATGTGTTTGTGTAAGGAGCATTAGGCACACAAGCAGTAAAATATTTTTAAAAATGTAGGTGAGGTGGAAACTGCAATTAGAAGAGTGAAAACCCCCAAGTATGATATTCTATGAGGGGATACTGAGGCTTGGGCAGAAGCAGTGGCCCTGTGGGCTCCCTTTTTCCCCCCCTTGTGTGTCAGGTTTGAAAGAGTACTGCTGGCTCTGTGCTCCCATCCTTTTACTGTCCATAGCACTAATATCATGAAGTCTCTGGTATACTGAGCAATTCTCAATACAGGGTTTATTTTTTATTTTTATGTTTTTTTGTTTGATTGGTTTGTTGTTTTTTTTTTGGTTTTTAATCTTAAAGTCAAATGTGAAGGTGGCAGGAAGTAGGTTCTTGATTTGAGTCTATTCAAATATGTAATAAGCATAGAACTGCTAGTTGAGGGCTCAGTGCTATTTAAGCCATTTCCCAAAGTGCCAGTTCTTGCTCAGTGGGCTGGTTGCTTTTTTAAACTTGTTATGACAGATGTAGCTTGGGAAATACACGTCAGTCTAATCCTTTAGCTTCCAGTAGAAATGATTTCTAGAACGGTGAGGCTAGTGTCTCATTTTTCCAGAATCTGTAGAGTGATCAGTTCTGCATTATTTCTTTCTGGTAGATGTTAATAATTTTGGCCTCATTAAAATATTGTGAAGTGTACTTAAGAATTCTTTTAGTGACTCCACATGCTAATACAGATTACTTAAAATGTCAAAACTGTTTAAACAATAAGTGGTATAAAATGTGATGTATTGGACCTAAGATGTATGCTGTCATATAAAAGCCAGGAGGAGATAATGACACATTTTCATTAAGATGTTTAAACAGTTCTATTACACAAAAGTTGTTTGTTTTTATTTTCAAGTAAAAAATATATGATTACAGTACTTATCCATAAAATATACACTTCTGTTTGCCTAGATGAGTTCCTAACATATTTGTGTTTTCCCTGCAAACCAATTAAAGACTAATTTGTTTTAGGATAATACTTCTAATGTCATCACTGAAAAAAATTTGCTATTTAGACATGAAATATTGCATTATTTTCTTATTATTTTTTTCCAGTGGACTGGAGGAATCTTTAGATTTGGCACATCCACAAGGAATGGATGTTGAAAACCAGATATTCTGTCTTGAGCCTAGCTTTAGCCAGAAACCTTTTCCTTTGAGGAAGAAATTTTGAATTCTGGCAAAAGAAAGACTGTATAGTGGAAGATGCAATATCATTGTTCTTTTATCAAATTTACTGTACCTTGATGTTTAAGAAAAAAACAAAATTCTGTGAAAATTGAAAAAGAGAAGCTACCATTTGAAGTATTTGCACAGTTTTCCTAAGTCTCTTTTCTTCTTCACTGTCTTTGCTGCTGTCTTAATAGCTCCAGGTCTGAGTAGCTCAAGAGCAGTTGAAGAATATGCAGAGACCTGAAGGAGATGCACCACTTCCAGCACATAGATCTAGCTGATGTGACTATCACCTCCCATCTCAGTCTTCCTTTCTGAACCTGCTAGTACCTATTTTCCTTCTAACATCCATGATTCTATGTGCTGTGGCATCAGGGACTGATCAAATTTTATCAGACTGAGTTCTCAAAATGCTGCTGGCAGAGAAGCTTTTAGTTAACCTGTAGTTCACTGAAACTATTCTGCTAGTGTGTAACTTAGTGCTGTACATGAGAAAGGGTTCTAGATTGTGCTATCTGGGACATCAAAATACTTAGCTGTCTGTTATAATGTGAGAAAAAGCATCATCTAGAATCCAAGTCCTGAAAATATTTTCTGTGGATTTGCTGTGCCTCATGCCTGAGCTGTTTCTTCATTCCTCACCTTAGTCAGAAGTTACTGCCTTCACAGGTGTTCCTTAAATCTACTTTAGGCTGATTATTTTTTTTACTTCATGGCTGGTACCAAGTTACTTTGGCTTCTGTGGACACCTTGATAGTCTTGGAAAAAACTAAAGAGACCCCACTGGAGTACTGCATCCAGCTCTGGGGCCCCCAACTAAGGATAAGGTGGACTTGCTGGAGTGAGTCCAGAGAAGGATCACAAAGGAGACCAAGGGGCTGGAGCAGGTCTCCTGTGAACACAGGGTGAGAGAGCTGAGGTTGTTCAGCCTGGAGAAGAGAAGGCTTTGGAAGGACCTTAGAACACCTTCCACTACATAAAGGGGGCCTACAGGAAAGCTGGAGAGAGACTTTTTACAAGGGCTCACAGTGATACCACAAGGGTTTAAACTGAAAGGGTGTGGATTTAGAACAGACATTAGGAAGAAATTCTTCACTGTGAGGGTGATGTGACACTGGAACAGATTGCCCAGGAAAACTGTGGATTCCCCATCCCTACAGGGTTCAAGGCCAGGTTTGATGGGGCTTTGAACAACCTAGCTGCAGGACTGGGAACCAAATGATCTTTAAGGGTCCCTTCCAGCTGAGGCCATCTTATGATTCTAAGATTTGATCAGGCTTTTCTCCTGGTCTACTACTCGAAGAAGAAGTGACCTCTGTGAATCCTGAAGGAGATTAAAGTGTTTTGTCATTTCTGCCAGAAGAGAATTGGGAAGCTTGATAAATAATGCAAGGATGAACAGTTGCCAGCAGCTGTGTTACAGGGCAGAAAATCCCAAGGGTACATAGCAAGGTATTCAAGTTTTCAGTTTTATGTACAACTTACTGAGAAAGTTAAGGAATTGCTCAGCAAGCTATGCAGTCTACCCTAGTGCTCTTTTTCTGAGAACAGTGAACTTTTATTATGATATTTGAACAACTCATGATGCTGTTTTTGATAAGACAGTGATAAAGCAACAGAAGAAGAAAGTTTTAAATCCTGAATCATATGAATTGGGTAGACTAAGCAGCCTCTGAAATCAAATGGAAATGGTTTTATTTGATAAACTAGTTAGCTAATCAAAGAAAATAATTCCAGGATTATTGAAATAGGTTATATACCAAGAAGCTAAAGCTTTTTAGCTTTATGTGCCCTTCTCTTGCTGGCACATTTTTCAGCTGTTACAACTTTGCATGAATGTGGAATTGCCAAAATACTTTGTTCACTCTGTGATCACATTGTTGTAGGACTCATTTGGTCCCTGTTATCGTAGCTCTGTTTCAACCTGTGCGCACAGCTGCAACTTCTTTCCTTGATAGGTTTCTTCTTCCATTCCCACGTGTTTGTAGGAAAGATAAAACTTTTTTTTTGTTTATTTGTTGTTTGTTTGTTTTGTTTTTTTTAATATGCAAGTGCTGGGGACTTCAGGAAGCCACTTTTTTTGAGAAGAGGAATGCCCTTTTATGGAATGCAGGAGGAGTTAAAAGCTAAGGGACAGTTTATTTCATGCTCTTCCTATGTGAATGGATAATTGCTTTGCGACATTACTGAAGAATAAAAAAATAAATCACACTGTTAGGTCTGCAGTAACTTTGTGTAGCAGATGTCAGTATTGGCCTGTTGGGACACATAGAAAAACAAATACATGATTTGATAGTCTGATTCAGGTTTTATCTCAGCATTAAACCCCTAATCCAACAGAGCTATAACCAGGAGAAACAATTAAAAATTCAGAATCACTGTGTGTTTTCTTGGGAATTCTTCTTTATCTGTCTGTGTTCCTGTTGTGGTGTGATGGCATACATGAGTGGTGCCTGCAGAAGTTATATTTGTACTTCCACTTGAATGTATTTCTGCTGTGCTTAGTATGCATGTGATTTACAAACACTAACAATATCGAGGCCATATGCTTCATCCTTTGATGGGCTCTCTAGAAGTAAAGTGGCAAGCAGATGTGAACAAGGCAGGCAGGGTTCTGTTTGCAACAGCTGAATGCCTGCTTGTCCTACAAACGATGCACTTATGTTTAAGTGAGAAATTGTTAATCCAACTAATCCTGCACGATTAAGGAATTTGTATCATTGTTTGTAATCTAAAATAGTAGGCTTGAAGTAATAATCAGTTTTTCAACTAAACAATTCTTGCTCATTGTACATCATGCAGGATTGAGGAGATGGGTGTCCATATGATACATAATAAATGACAGCCAAAGTAGAATTGTAAGTAGCTTTAGCTGTGCTTCTCAGCCTTAAAAGCAGAGTGGTGTTTAAAAAGCTTTATATGCTCTTGCAGCATCCCTCAGAGCCACTGAAGTTCATGATGGCCCAGCTTTCATCACACATGATTTGTATTTAGCAGAGATGTGGTAACCTCAGAGAGTGCAAGATTGCAAGTAGAAAGTCCAGCTGAAGTGGATATCACATATCTCTGGCACTCAGAAGTTGCACATGAGACATACTGTTTTAAGGAGGAATATCTATTGAAAACAAAGTCCTTTGTGTTTGCACATAGTTCAGTGAACATGGTGTTGGACAGTGACTAGGAAAGCAGAAGTTCTAACATTTGCTATCTCTGATGGGCAAACTGCCTTTGCAAAGATCACTTCTTATGATCACTTTACCTGTGGATCAGAAAATATTTCTTTTCAATGTAAAGTGCTAAGAAATCTGCAGTAAAAAAATTACTGTATATATTAAGGCTTTTTATAATCTACTATTAGTGTAAAAAATTGTTCAATATAGAACCAAAACTGACTCTTAATTCTGGATGCCACTTCCTGGGCTGTGAGGCACCATAGAAAACCTTCCTGGCCCTACAGTATGAAAACTCGGGTTGTGGATTCCACTTCTGGTTGCCAGTCTGGACAACATACAGTTATCTATAGTTTCGTATGTATTGTGTAAATGTATCATAAATATCCATTGTCTAATTGTTATACATTGAATATTTATATGAAAATGTCATTAATTATAGGCACTTGCTAATGTACAGCCAATTATAAATAGCTATGTTTTAAAAATACTATTTTTCTTTCTCTGCTGTTATTACTTCTTGCCTCTCATCCATGTCAGGTTAAAGAGTATGTATGAGAGCGTTCAGAGTTCTTAGTTTTCTAAATAATAATTAAGAAAAAAGCAGCTACCAAGAGCAGAAGTCAGCCTAACAGAATTCTGCTATTTAGATTTTATTTTTTACTTTCTCTATACAGCATATTGAAACACCTGTTGTTTTAGGTTGGTAGGTTTCATACTGTCTCTAAAAAGGGTCAGTCCTAGTTATTTTTTATCATTCGAATTTTGAGTAATATTATGAGGATTTCTTTGATTAATGTATAGTTTGCCTCCTTATAAATCAAGTATTGAATATTAGAATCAGCAAGTGGAACTCAGCTTCCCAGTGTAGTTATTTTGTATAGTAACAGGGATTTCTGTGATCTGTCTATAGCAATTTAGGGCTCAGACACGATTGAATTAATTATGCTGACAGATTTCTTAATCATGGGTCAGCTGAGCTGCAGTAACCAATGCCGTGGACTTGCAGCCTGTGGGGAGCGCGAGGTGAAGTATTTGAACTTGACCTGCTTTAATCAAGACTTAGCCCAGGATGTGTTAGTTTTGTGGGTTTTACAGAGCGGGTGCAGAGGCTGTCCATGTTCTCAGCTCTGCTGGGAAAGAGGAGCCTCACCAGTGCAGCAGCTCCTGGCTGGTGCCTGACCTAGCACGTGCCGCTCTGTGCATGAGGTCAGCTCCGCGCAGAGCCACGAGTGCACGTGCCCAAGCTTCGGCACATCCTTCATAGTGCTTTGATCATAGTTACATCGATTGAGCCTGATGTCCAGAGCCTCTCCACTTCTCGGTTTCTGCTTTTCCTGTTCCTGTGAGGAGCATCCTTGGCCCTGTTGGGGTGTATCAGGGCCCAGCCGTGAGGCCAGGCCTGAGGCTGCAGCCACTGTGCGCTCCAAGTGCACAGACACGAGTCCGAGAGGCCGGGGGGAGGCCTGGGGAGCCGCTGCTGCCGTAGGCTGGGGGCCACGAGCGCGTTCCACGGGAGCGGCGTGGGGACGTTCCGGCTCTTAGCGTGGGCCTCTTTGCCAAGCGCTCGCGCCTGGCTGGAGTCAGCGCTTCACTCGGTCACGGGGACTCTTTCCAGAGCATTTAGCAAAGGCAGATGAGGTTTGTAAGCAGATTGACCTTGGGGGGCATGCCAGTGGTTTGGGGACATCTGCAGCTGGCAGAATGAATGTACAGAGCTGGGCCGTGAGCTGTCAGCGTTGCCTTGGTGAAGGGATCTGCCCACTCAGGCGGGATGGACATGTAGCTGTTAATGCCCAGCTGTCAAATGGTAGTTGTGAAATGAGGCTTCTGTGTAAAGCACTGGGAGATTGTGCGTGAACAGTTCTACCAGAGCTGGATTGCTAATTTGTTATCTTGGTATTGTTAATGGATTATCTTGCTGTTGATGGAGTTTAATCACATGCTTCAGTACTACTTGAAATCACAAGGCTTTCCTGAGGTGGAGTGCTGTGTGTGAATGGTTGGTGCTGATAGAATTTTTCTCTGGAACCACATTCATTTTAGTAGCTGGTACTGCAGTTTTACTCAGTATTTCTTCTGTTTCTGAATTGATTGTGATTGTTGTGTGATTAGGAGTAGAGGGAAATCATAAAGCAGAGACTATTTCTTTAAAAAACTAAGTATGTTTACATATGCAAGTGTGTATGCACAATGTGTTGCCAGAAAAATTCATGTTTACATGGTTGACTTGTATCTGTGGTTTAGTTCATATGTACTTTCAACCTTGAACACCAATGGCAAAAATGTAATGGCTCTAAGAATTGATTCATTTACACCAGAATACTTAAATTGTTATCACTGAGTGTGTGCAAGCACCTATCATTGCAGAACACTGGCTAAAAACGTATGTCTGTACATTTACATAACAGTATGTATTTTATATTATATCCTTTATTGTCTTCACAGAGTGAACCAAAAAAACAGCTGTTATAGAGTCTGCCTTGAAGACAGTCAGTAGAGCTTCAGAAGATCTAAAAATTTTAAATAGACTCATTCATCCTTAAAACACTTCTCTGACCACTTGAGAGCTTTTTTCAAGATATTTGATAAAGCCAGCAGCATATTTAGTATTATTTTACAGATCTGTGCGAAGGAGATGATCCTTGTTAGGGTGAATCATTATGCACTATTTCATGAGTGGACAGAGATACAGTCACATATTGAAGAAGAGTAGCTGGGCTTACTTTGGCCAATAGACTTTGCAATTAGTTTTCAGAATACCATTGCATGCCTTAAAGAGCTGTTTTTATGCTCTTCTGCCTTCACAGCAAAGTATACAATCTCCCCTCTGTCTTGTAGGCATTTCCTGTACTAGGAAATTTTTGCTGAAATTTGCCACTCTTGCTACTCCTATTTCAGCTCATTGGCTGCTGTGCCAATGAGGGCACTTGGGACTTCCTCTTAATTCAAGCACTGCATTGTGTAAACTTCTAAACAGGGTCAGACAACATAGTGTTGCCAGCTGCACATCTGCAGCCATCTGGATTTGTGGCAGGAGCAATAAAATAGACATTGTGTAGCAGAGCTGAAAGAGTGACAGAAGTGGTGCAAATCATATTTGCAGAAAACTGACCATAGAGAAACCCACCATAAAGAAAATCAACCATATTTGATCTGCAGAATATATAGTTTTGTTATTGAAAAGGTCTTTCTACTTTTGCATTTTGCAAATAAAGATAAATGGGATATGCTACTGCTGTGCAGTGTTTGGTGAAAAACCTTGCTGGCTAATTCATTCCCATTGCATAGTTTAGAGCAGAGGCAAGTAAGTATTAAAGCTTCTGGTGCTCATAAACAGGCCTCTACCCCCAATCCTATGACTTCATTAAGATTATGTTTCTAATAAACATCACTTCAGTATCTTAATTTATTATAATAACATTCTTAAGGAGAAACAATGGCACACTGTGAAATTACAGCTTTCAAGTCTGAGGGAGGAGGTGCATGGGAATGGCCACACATTGTTTTGTGTCTGGACTTGCTAGTTGTTTGAGGTGAAGCTAGAAGAGACACTTCTGACCTCTTTTCTTTTGAATCCTTTCTCCTTGATCAGCATCTCTAGTGACCTTTCTGAGAATAATGAGTCTACCTGGTCAGTGAAGCTTCAAAAGTTAACTTCTGTAGAGTCATTCACTTTGACTGGGTTACTCAAGTGTAAGTACAAGGTGCAGTCTCTACTTTTCTCTCCCTGAAAGCTTTTATTTGGTCACTTGTTTCCTGGCTCTCAGAGGCACTAGAAGTATGGATTAATACTGTCAGGATTTCTTACTGAGTAGTTTTACTGCTGGTTTTATGTTTTATTTTGCACGTTACCTTAATGTGAGACATCTCAGAATAAGACATAGTTTTAGACTGAATACTTCCATGCATGGGTTTTTAAAGTGTTTTAAACTCACTTTTAGTGACACCTGGATTCTTTGCAGTAATGCTTACAATGTAAAGACAAAGTATATTAGAAGAATGACTTATAAGCTAACATGTTCAGGAGTGGGTATTGCATTTTTTGACTTATCTTTCTGATTTATCTGACCTGTTAAACATCTTCCTCAAATATTTAGTACTGCTTCCCTGTAAAATTGGATTGTCTTCCTAGTTTTGTTTTATTATTTTCTTGGGACAGTATTCATAGCCAATACCTATTTCCAGACTTTGGATGAGGCATTGCTCTTAACCTAGAGTGCCATAGATTTCACAACTAATCCAGCTCCTGTTGAAGTTAGTGGGGTTGCTACCTTTGATTTCAACTGGATGTATTTCATTTGTTGGCAATTATACTGTAGCCTAAGGTAATGGTAAGGGAAGAGGTGCTTATACAGAGGCCATTGTTAGTAGGAGTGGAGCTACTTATGTGATGACAAAGACAACTGCTTTATTTTGAAGGTCATTTTTAATAAAAAAATTAGAATTATTTTATTGAGCTGTCTGTATAAATTTATCATTATTAATCAAATACTGGTTGATAATAATAAACATAAGTAATAAACCAGTTGTGTGTATGTTTTGTAAACATACATATTTTGCCACAAAAGTCCAGCAAACAATTTTTGTTGAATCTTGCAGGTATTAATCTTCTCTACAGCATGTTATTCTCATAGCTCTGTTAAAACAGAGGGTACTTATACTGTTCCAGTGTGTGGTACTCCATTTTCCATTGTTTGATGGCAATGGCAATTCAGTGAAAGTGGCTTTCCTTGAACTGATCTCAGGAATAATATATCTGCAAAGCATATCTGGCCTTGAGTAGAAGTGAGCTAGAAGTAAGACAGTGGGAAAAGTGAGAAATAGAGATATTCTCCTTCTGAGCCTCTGAGAACAGTTGGCTACATTCATATACTGACTGTAAAACCACTACTTTGTGACCAGAATCATTAAGAGGTGCCTTTTATGTGATCAGATTTTTTTTTTCAAACAGGGATGAAAGCCCCTTCATGCTGAATTTTGCAGTTGAATGTTCATCCTGGGTAGAAAAGTGCAGTTGCATGCATCACCTAAGGCTTAAAGTATAAAGTAACATTGCTGTTGGATATGATCACTGGTATGGGTGTCAGATGCATTGGTATTGTGTTTATCAGGGAATCACATTTTCAATATGCACAGAAGGGTTAGGACACCCATCTGCCTCAGCAGAAGAACAATGTACAGTTTTCTTGGCCAGTGAAGAAACAAAGGGGTTCACCAAGGCTGGGTCATGAAGAACCACAGTGTTTTCCACGTGTGTCACTTGAAGTTCAGTGGAAGACTTATTTGATACAGCCGAGTCCAGAGATGAACATAAATGAAATTCATCTTCTCATAGAGAAGATAAATCATAGAGCTTTGAGCATTTTGTTTTTCCTTCACAAAATATCACAGTGTTTTAAAGGTTGAAGTTACGTGCTTGAGAAAAATAAAGAATTTTGATGTAGAATTATTTTTCAAATTCCTTCATGAAATAATTATATTTAACAACAGCCTTTTTCATGGTATCAATCAGAGATCAGGAAACTAAAATCAGGTGATATCTGGCCATTTTACAACTCATTTTCCTAAGGAGGTATGTTTGTAAAGTGTGGAGTTCGGAAACTGCATGATGGCATCCTTGATTTTTGTAAAATGAAAATGAAAGCACTTTAAAAACCGTAAGAATTTCCTATGATAAGAACCTTATCTGGAGTATTTGAGCCTTAAGTAACTTCACAGTTTGAAATGTGAATTTATGCCTTTAGAAGGCAGTTTTGAATTAATTTTTCTCTCTTCCCCTCACCATTTACTAGGACTTTTTTTAGATGTAGAGATTTTCCCTAGATTAACATTTTTTCCCTATTTTTTTATGTTATTTTTTAAAATTAGAAAAGCTTGCTGCATGGGCAAGAATTCTCATGAATGTCTCTTATCTACTACCGCTTGCAACGTGTTCAGCAAGAATACTTGTGCCAGCATTTAGATAGTTTTAGAGCCAGGGGCCAGGCACTTTCTTGGTCCCCAGACTGCCACACCGGCATTCCTGAGTGTGTTTTCCTCACATCCTGGCCTTTCCTGATAGCCTGGAGAGCTGCAGGTTTTGCCTGTTGGACACCACAGAGGGGCTCCAGAGAAGATGTCATTTGCACACATGATCAATTGCTCAGTTAAGGAAAAAAGGAATCTCTTAAGAGACTTCAAAATATTTAATTTTTTTTTCCTCTCATGGTAATGAATGATGATAATTTGGTGGAAGATGAAGTTGTCCATGTCTCTGATTATGTTCTCATGTGGTTCATTTCTGGCTTCCTGCTTATAAATGCTTGGTTATTGTGTGCCTCTTGCTTTCAAGTACAAGTAAACTCTTCCTGAAGAGAGCAGCTTTTACCATTGTAGACATACTCAGTATGTTACTATGTATTAAAAAGGGCAATAAAGAGTATTTGTTCCCGTCAAAAGTAAAATTACTCTTTAGTAGCATATAGCCATACTCTGCCACAGAGAAGTAAATAAAGCAGATAATATTTCACTATTAGATACGTAAACTTTTACTGCTATTTTTCTTTTGTAAATGGACATGACCAAATATATTAAATTTTAGTATTTTTCTCTAAAAAATATGGGGAATACATATTTAAAAAAAAAAAATTGAGAGGCAC